GATCTTTGTTCTTCTTCCGGACGAAGAGAACAGGTGCACCGTATGGCGAGCAACTAGGGCGAATCCAGCCCTTGTCGAGAAGATCATCGAGTTGTGCGCGAAGCACCTCGAGTTCCTCTTCGCTCATGCGGTAGATACATCCACGCGGAGGGACGGCGCCAGCCTCGAGAGTGATCCCGTGACGTATGGGCCGATCCGGAACCGTTCTGGTGGGAGCCTCGAAGATGTCTCTATACTCGTCCAAGAGGTGAGAAAAGCGTGGGTCCGGCGGTGACGCGGCTGGTTCGTCCGGCGAGGGGAGAGCATGCAAGAATACAAGGCCCATCTCCTCGACATCATTCCGAGCTATGGCGTCGCGAATTCTCGCAACGGAGACCACGTGACAAGCAATCGAAGTGTGAGGGGTCGCGACCGTACATGGGACTAACACTCCGTTCCGATCACGGATGTGAACGGTTCGGTCATGGAAGTTCACCGGATGATCGGCGCTACGCAACCAAGACATGCCTAGAATCATGTCGAACTTGGTGTCGAGGATGTCAAAAGACACCGGCTCGCACGCAAGTGGCGCAAAGTATACCGGAACGTCGTCGACGCATCGGTCAATTGACTTTTGCGTGCAGCCGTCCGCGAGTGTAACTTGTGTAGGTTGCGTCTTCCTTCGAACGCGCAGGCCAAGACCTGCGCGGGCCATAAAGGCTTGGCTCATAAAGTTGCGAGACGCACCGCAATCAATCAAGGCACTACAGGTTGCCTTTTCGATTTGAATGCGGATATAGAGCAAAGGAGCGTCGGTTTCGGCGTACCTTTGGGCGGCGTACTCGCGGTCAATCTTCGCAAGATAGGAGCGGAGATCGACAACCGCTCCTCCGTCGTCCGTCAACGGAGCTGGTACTGTAGTGTGCAAATAGGAGCGTAGATTTGCCATCAAGGCGTTGCAATGCGGCYTTGGCAAGGTTCCGGTCGAGGGTAGAGGCATCCAAGCGAAGTCCTCTCTCGTGAGCGGGTCAAGCTCCTCAAGTCTTGACCACACCGTCGAGTCCTCGGAAATCAGTGGCGAACTGACCGGATCACTTGCCGACGGTGTACAAGCTGCGCATACGCAATCTAAGTGCACGTGGCTCGACTGGTCTAGTGGTGGTACCAGTTGGGCGGCATAATCCTCGTACGTAGCACGAGAATCAGCGACTAACGCATGCTCCCCGGTAGTGACATCGATTGCTAGCAAGGCAACCGGTTCCGGCGGAATGAGGAGAGATGTCGCCCCTCTCCTTGCGTAACTCAGTTTCCCGAGTTTGCTGGACGGGATACGCGTGTCTTGCCCTTTTCGGGGCATTGTGCGGTAAAATGCATGACGCCGTTGCACCAAAGGCAGTATCCGTACTTTTGACGAAGGTCATAGACATCCTTGGTTATCTTGTAAGCCGTCCATGGCTGCGGCCCAGTTCCCGTCGATGCCGTCTCTTGTGTTGCCTTGTTCTTCCGAACTCTCTTGGGACGCTTCGGCGGGAGCGCTGCTACAATTCCTCCATCACTCGAGGATGCTGCTGCAGCGTGGAGATCGACTGTTTCTTCAGAAATCACGACATTGTTGTGTGTCGGTCGTTGATAGCCCTGCTTAGCCATATAATGCGGTTGGGACTGCCGTTCGTTTGCGGCCTTGTCATCCGTTTGGATGACTAAGTTCGCCCGATCCAGAATGGCCTAGAATGAATCATAATCGTACTCGTTGCCGAGTGCCGACTGCAGTCCTGCGCATGATCGCATAAAGAACTCGAATCGCTGATTGGTAAAACTCAAATCGAAGCCTGGCGTGGTCACTATCTTCTGCCACTTAGTTGTCCAGTCTCGAGTTGGCATATTACCTTGAGAGCAGGTGTACACCTCGTTCATGGCTGCCTTCACGACGTTGCGAACCATGAACCAGGTGAGCCATAGCTTCTCGAACTCTGTCCACGGAATGTGCGTGTGGAGTTCGGCGATGGTGCATTTCTTTGTAGCCGCTAGATGATTCATCCATGCGCTCCGCCGATCAGCTGTAAGTAGAGCGCCTTCATCATGTCGTCCGCCGGGACAGTGTAACAGGGGGCTTACCTGTTCAACTGAGTGTCACTCACACAAACAAGGGAAGTTGCAGCAGGCCAGCAACAGTAACAGGAGGCTTACCTGTTCAACTGTGTGTCACTTACACAGTCAGAGGGAAGTTGCAGCAGGTCAACGGCAGACGGGAGACTTGCCTGATTGAATTGTGCATTACTCACACAGTTAAAGAAAGCGGCAACAAGCTAGCAGCGGACTGGAGAGTTACCTGTTGCACGGTGCATTGCTCATTAGATTGAGGGGGTTGGCGTGAGAGGCAAACTTGGAGACTTACCTATTGAGCAGTGTATCAAACACATCAGTCGGGAAGATGTCGCGACTTCAGTTCTTTGAGGACCGGGTTTTTCGCCTCGTTCTCACTAAGGATCTGACTATGGACGTCGCGTTTTGGCCGCCATTGCGGGGCCCTCAGGCGCATCAAGGTAACGAGGCCCTCTCGTGTGAGTTGAGTTGGCCCATTCTCGTACCTCGAGCGTCTAAACTCTCTTCTTCTATCCTTCTTCCTCTCAATCTAGTCTGTGTTTGGAGGGGAAGGCAACAGGCGGGATTGCAACCCGTAGGACCGCATCAAGGCCTTTGTGGGAGATCGACCCACCGATTGCGAGAGCTCTGCCGGAGCCCAGGCGGGACTCTGGAGGCAGGGAACTCAGAGGTAGGCCGACACGATACCTCTATCTATCCCAATAAACCTCTATTTATACAAACCTGGTGTTTGGTCTGTTTTACTTTGACTTGTGTATATGATTGTTTCCTTTTTCAGGGCTTTGACTGAATCAGAAAGGGAATCTACTATGCTTGATCAAATCATCTGTCTGTGGTAGAAATCACGATGTTTGCATGCGATGATTTGAACTGGGGCTGGAGACGAGGTCCACCAGACTGATCCGGTTGCCTTGCTGTTTTGCCTAAGACATTGAACTGGGGCTGGAAATGAGGTCCTCCAGACTAATCCGCTCGCCTTGCTGTTTTGCCTAAGACATTGAACTGGGGCTGGAAACGAGGTCCTCCAGACAGATCCGGTCGCCTTGCTGTTTTGCCTAAGACATTGAACTGGGGTTGGAAATGAGGTCCTCCAGACTGATCCGGTCGCCTTGCTGTTTTGCCTAAG